GACCCCCCGCCGGCCCCAGCCCGGGCCCTCCTGCCTCCCACTGCCCTGGGGGCCTCTGCCAGGAGGCCCCAGAGCCACTCCAGCCCCTGCTTCTAGGGTAAGTAGAGACTTTTTTTTTGGTTTTTTGGCCCTGTTGGGGGGCCGTAGCCCTTGTGTAGGGGCCATCACCCTGTGGGAGGGCAGCAAAATATGTATTCATGAATTCATGAAACCTGTATTTAGAGTTCACTTTATCATTATGATAAGAGACATGCTTTAACACTGTAGATGTATCAATAAAACATTGTCCAACTGATCACTGTCTCTGTTTCGCTCTCTCTCTTGCTCTCTTTATAGTGGTCTTTTGTTTTACTTGTGGAGGAACATGGATTTGGGGGTATTTTACAGAGTGACTTTGGGATTTTTTTTATCAGGGATTTTTCAGTTTTCCAGTAGGAAACACCAGAATTCCTGCTAGGGAAGCCAGTGTCAGGACCCTGCCTGCTCAGAGCTGGCACCTTGGACCCAGCTGGCTGTGGCTGACCTCCTGGCCCAATGGGGCCAGGAAGACATGCTTTGACAGTTCAAAGCAGGCCACCACACCCGGAACATCTTCTTGGCAATAGCTGCCCAGATGGCTGGGCAGGGGGCACACATGACAGTACTGCCACACAGAGGACAACCCTGCAGCCACAGTCCACTGGCAGCTGGCCCAGAGGTACAGATGTCTCTACTGGCTGTGCAGTCCCCATCCGGGTCCGGCAAGTGTGCAGCAGGTCACGGCCGGGCAGCAGCCCCCACTGCCAGACTGCTGCAGTGGGTAGAGGGTGCAGGGAATTCTCAGGGCTGCTGCAGCAGTCCAGCTGGCACAAGGGGTAGTGTCCCCAGGTACCATTTGGCTAGGCTCCAGAAGCTCCTGAGAGCGAGTAGCTCTGAGCTACGTGCCAGGGCAGCTTTCTGTACTGCTGGGGCCAAGACAGGGCAGCTTTTTACACTGCTGGGGACAGCACAGGTGCTGACCCAGGGCTCTAGCTTCCCCTGGCTACAGATCCAGAAGGAGCCAGGCAGGGTTATTTTGCCTCAAATGGCACAATTTGCTCCACAACAAAGTGCATGTCCAAGCACATGCGCCGAGACAAAAAGCCCCGGCTCAAATTTGCACCGCTTCTATTTGAGCTGCTTGCATGTATGGATGCACCCAGAAAATTTGACTCCCACTAAAATCTGAAGTGATAGTCGTTCTTTTTTTTTTTTTCCTCTTGCCCAGATTAGTGTAATGTTGTGATGCTACTCATGATAGATTAGAGTTAAGTGTATTGCACCCAAAAAACTGGATGAATTCCCAAAAGGTTCTGATGCTCATGAGGAAGACATCATCTGCTCTATTTACACTTGAGCTGGAAATTAGGTGAGGTAAAGTACTCATCTGAGACATCTTCTTTCCAGCAATGCTAAAAATGCTGCACAGGGGATATGTATACACACAATGAATTTACAAGTCTCAAAGTGAGTTGGAGGGCTAAATGATGTTTTAGCTATTTTTATCTGAACAGGTTTATACATCCCTACATGATGCATCTGAAGACTCAACACATCCTGAAAGTTCTGTGGGCAATAAATGTCTTGCAAAATAACTAAGGTAACCAAACATTAAAGGACGTGCGTCTGCTTTCATTGCTACTTTAATCAGTGTCAGCAGGACTCAAAGAAGCTAAATAAAGCTAAATAAAGTTGCATACACATTTCGAGCTAAATAAAGTTGCATACGCATACTCTTGAACCCTGTGCTCTTTCTATTGCAATAAACCTTTTTTTCCAACAAGAAAAGAAAAGCCAGTACTTAGCATGGACTGAAAAGTTTCATCATATAATCATTTGTGAGTATGCTTACCTTAAAGTCATTGTTGTATCTACCATAGTTTACTCGACCCATGTTTTCTACTAACAGGTCCAGATTTGCTCCAGCCTTTCCAGTTATATTTATCATAAGTGACTTGCGTCTTTCAAGGACTCCCTGAGGAATCTGTATTCCAAAAAGAAAAAAATAATGCAATCATGTAAGGGAGCAAAACACCAAGTATTATTAGACTGCAGTACTCATAGGTATGTCTGTTCTTACAAGGGAAAATATTCCACTTAGAAGTCAAAAGCCATCAGTTAAGTGGGTCAGACAGATATTCTATTAAGTGGTGTGTCTGTTATTCAAATAACTGAAAACTATCAGTTTCCTCAAAAGCAGGTGTACTTAATTCTACTAGTTTCAGTCAGTCAAAGCTCTGCAGACGTCTAATACCTACATAAGTTGTTAAAAAGTTCAGATGTCTGAAAACAGCTTCTACACTTTATGGGTGAAAATAAGACTAATGCTCAGATCAGGCTCATATGCATAACCTTATTTAAAAAGTCAGATGTTTTAGAATATGAAACAAATCAATATTCCTGCAGTCAATTCTGGAGGTACAAGAGAAACAAGGTCCATAAAGAAAATGTTAATATAATCTGATAGAGTGAAGAGGAGCAGGTCAAAGACAGGCCATGAAATGACTTCTCCCTTTGGTGAGCAGGAACAAAAATAGTGTTTGCACAGCTGCAGGTTGGGAGAGGGTGTGTGTAAATTTACATCCTGTACAATACATGTTTTTAAGTTTGTGCACAGAAAGCAGCAACAAAAGGGAAGATGTAGGTTCAGGCTTCAAACATTTGACAGATATTTATGTGACAAACCAGTAAATGAATCAATCTTCTAGATATTTTTGTTATTCTTATTGAGACCTTTTACCAATTTCAAATGGCTTTAACACTAATGGTCAGACTTACCTTAGAAACTGTGAATACAGACTAGAGTTTTGAAAGCTTTATTGAAAGTTGATGTAAGCAAACTGTATGATCCCCCCCTACCCGCCCACTTTACTTTATATTGAAGAATGTAAACTGCATTTGCATACATGCAGGAGGGAGATCATTAAACATACAAATATCTTTAATGGTAGTTGCTTAAAGTAGGTAAGACACACAAATGGATAGTCCTAATTTTGAACTCAATCCTTACCCCATCCACAGAGATATAAGCACGATCATGAACTCCATTGAGAGGTGAAATCAGTAGGGTTTCCTCACTATAGTTTTTTTTCAGGTTTGTCCTGTACAACACAAACCCAAAATACTAGAGGAAAAATAAAATTAGAGAATCAAGTTATTCTGGGCTTGAGATCAGGTTACAAGTTGGTTAACAATACCCAGCATTCCTG